AAAAATGACCTTTTTACAAAAAATTAGGTAAAATTCCTACATTATGGTAAAAATTGACTATTAAACTATTAAAATATATATATAAAATTTCAGTAGTGAAATTGAAATTTGAACAAAAAACATTTATAGTACGATTTTGTAGTACTATTTCCCACTGTGCGGCATGCCGTATTTGTAGTCACTTCGATTTAAATATGCTAAAATATTTCTAGAAATATAAATACTTCTGAAATGTAAATAGTATTCTTACTAGTAATAATTTATTGACAAATAATTTTATAAACCAAGCAATATTAGTAGATATTTTATAATAAAATATATATAAAAATATTAAAAGTATGTATAATATGTAAAAACTAGGTCACGGCTGTTTCAACGTGAGCTTTACGGCTTCTTGCTTTTTTAAAAAAAATAACTACTTAACAGGTGTTACTAAAACTTTTTAAATTTTTTAAATATTAGAGATAATTTTGTTCTGTAAAAAGAATATAAACATCAATAAAATGTTTTACAATATGACATTAAATAAATGATTGAAAACTTTCTTCGATTTTAGATGAAACGCGCCAAATGATGAGCTTGGCTAAATTTCAGTAGTTTGTTGTCACTTTTTATCAAAAAAAAGTTTCAAAAGTATATTTTAGATAATTATTATTAAATATACACGTTGTAAGACCACTTTAATATAACAAGAAAATTATTTAAACTTGATTCTTAACTGAGACAGGCAATATTTATGTCAGTAAAGCAAATCGCTACTTTTTTACTCGTAAAATATTCAAAGTCACGTGATTGTTTTAAAATGTAAACAAAAATATACGCATAAAAATAGGCAAAATATTGTAAACCAGCCAAGTTTGAAGACATATTTGGTAACATAGCTAGAGGAATAAATACGTCAGGCTCGCTTTTATATTGAGTGAAACAGCCGTGAGGTAAGAGTATCTACAATGTTTGTTTTTTACAACTAATAAAATATAAAGCCATATTATAAATTGCTGCCTTTTTAATTTTTCATGGAGATTTGACGTTTGCAAAACGTTATTAGCCGACTTTGTTTTGATGTGACCAATATCCAAGCTAAAATAAAAAGTAGGTCGACCATAAGCCAACGTTCGCGCGTAATCGGTATATTATCTAATGTTTTCCTCTTTATAACTACGTTGGGCCAACATATTGGTGCTATCTGGGTAAGTACTTTTTGTCCTTGCCCATCTGTATATATCTTAATGCACAAAACTTGTATATTTTTTTTTACGGTTAACTTAAAAAAAAATAACTAAAAAAAAAGAAGCTAAATAACTAAAAAGAGCAGTGACGGATTCAGGATTTTTTGGTGTTTGAGATCTTAGGATTCCGAATTAAGAGCAAACTCCAAACATTTGTATGTTTATACTTATGTCAAATAATGATGCTTTGAAAAAAATTGCGATGATTGGAAGCTGGAAACAAAAAACCTTTAACCTCATCCCCCGCCCCCAAATGTGAGGGTCAACAAGCTGATAAAATATTGTACTATTTTTAACTAGACTTAAATTCATCGATGAATTTCAAGTTTCATAATATTATCTCTTCGCGTTCAATAGATGTGACCATATAAAGTTTAAACTCACCTCAATTTGAGGGGGTTACAAATTTTATATTGTAGGTTTATCTTAAATAACCTTCTATTTCTTGAGTAATTTAGTGATTGAGACTCACACATCACCAATCTCAGCTCTGGGTAGATACTTGAGATTTTTGAATTTCTGGTTCTCCATTACCCAAGAGAGATTGAAAAAAGCAAACAGAACCACAGAGTATGAAACAAATTTTTCTCTACCCAGAAGTTCAGCCACACACCTGCAAATAATAAACATATTTTACAATACAATATATGAACAATACTATGAAACTTAAATACTATGAAACTTAAAATTTATCGATGAATATAAGTCTAGTTGAGAATAGTACAAAAAGCATTTTATCATTTATATTTATTTATTATTAATTTTGATTGAAGTTAAATAGCTTTTTCTTTCCTAGCCTCCAATCATCGCAGATTTTGCAAGGCATCATTATTTGACATAAGTATAAACATACAAATGCTTGGATTTTTCTCCATATCTGGAAGTTAGCTATCACAAACACTAAAAAATCCTGGTCACTGCTAAAAAATAAAAATGCCGGAAAACTAAAAAATCCCTGCTCAATAAATAACTACAAACAACAACAAAAACAAAAACAGCCATGGCAACAACTAAAAAGTAAAACAAAATTAAAACATTATAAATCACCACTAAAATAAAAAACTAGTCAGGGTTTTCACTGCTCTATCAACATTATTCAATGTTTGGTTGAATTTATCATACGCCAGTCGTATTTATTGCAACAAAGCCACCTCTCAAAAGTTTTTAGATTTAGATACTTTACTATAGTATAAAGTTAAATTGAAACACTTGTAAATACTTAACTATAATTTTTTCTTTCCAGTTAACATAATTAACACCATTTTGGTTAGTTAATTATCTAGATTTTAAATGGTTTGTTACACTATTGCAAAATATTTAAACGGAAAACCTCTTTAGCTAAATGTGCCTTAATCGCTAACTACAACTGAAAGTTGTGCCTTTATAATCTTTTTTTTTTTTACAACACACAACAGTTAGCTTCTAAAAAGTTTGAAAGTTTTTATAATATCTTCTTAAAAATTTTTCAAAAATTCTACATTTGATCAAGAAAAAAAATCTTCTACATGATCTTTTTAGCATTAGTTAATTTAGTCATTTAAAAATACAAATAATGATCACACAAAAAGATTAATGGCTGAAATAGCTTTAGCAGCATTGCTGAGCCACATTTAAAAAGCGTTTTTTAACCTTACATTAAATATAAGAAAGACAACTGTGAAAATAGAGAAAAGAAAAAAAAAAAAAAGAAAAGAAAATGAAAATAAATTTAGAAAAATAAAAATAAAAAGATGAATAATAATCAAGAAGTGCTAAAATATTTATGAGCTATATTCAAAAATTTTTGAATAATAATAAAAGTATTTTATAAGTAGCATTGAAAAAAAAAGCCAGTATCGTTATTATAATAATATCTATTTTTTGTTTGATTAATTTAAAACATTTAAAATCGGATTTTTGAAACTCATAAATAATAATTGGGTCATTTCAATCAATTGGGTCAGAACGGATATATTGTAAAAAATAATATTAACCGTTATTGCACCTCTTAACATCGAGTGCAATCCTGTCCGCTTTCTCTATGCTGTCTTTCTAACACGACTACTTCTGTCTTTTACTCTAACATATCTTCGTTCTTTCTAAACTCACTTTACTCTTGGTCCGTAGAGCGGGTTATGACGCTCCTTGGGGAGCCGAACCTGTCTTTACGGGCCTTGGTAATGTGGCCTCTATATGGCAATTAGCCGGAGGAGGATAAACCACAATACCAATAATAATTGGGTCACGTTATACAGAAAGCTACAAACCCAGTCATACTTGGTTTTAAAATAAACTAGTTAGAAATTTGTTTTGATGGTTTCAAAATTCTGCGTTTGTAATAAAATCTTAAATAAAGTTGTTTCTCAATAATCGATGAACAAATTTATTTATGATTTTATTACTAATGCAGAATTTCAAAAGAAACAAAATAAATTTCTAACTAATTTATTTTAAAACCAAGTATGAATGGGTCGGTTGTTTTCTGTATAACGTGACCCAATTGTTTTGAAATGCTCTAGTGTATCTTTCTTTTGCTAACAATATCGAGAAACTTTTTCCACAAAAAAGATTTATATGATGCGAACGGCACCCCTAGCAAATTATTCTACGGGCCGGTCAAATACAATCAAAGCTGGTTCGCCAAATTGTCCTCTCAAAAAGTCTTAGTATAACGGTAGGCAGAAAATAGTATGGGTCAAATTAAGATCTTGAGTTTTCAAAAAAAAAAAAAAAAAAAAAAAACGCAGACCAGATATCATTCTGTTTTTAGGAGAAATGTGAGAGTGCTGCTACATCGACTGATTTATACCTGCTCTGTTTACCAAAATCAGTCGATGTAGCAGCTCTCGCTTATATGTTCTCATTATATCAATGTGTCTGTCTGGCCTGAAAAACCTCTTTTTGAGCCATTAAATTCTGCTTATCTAGTATAACAAGCTATTACAAAATAAATACCTCCTAATTTGAGTTTCTAAGAAAGTATAGTTTGTACTAGACGATACTTCGTCTGACTTTGAAGTCGTTACTTTTCTAAGTTCACGGGAAAAAAGTCAGACCCAATATCGTTTAAATTTGTACTTATCGACAGTAACTTACATTTTAAAAACGAGTTATGAGTTGATGATAAAAAGTAAGAAAACAAATTTCACTATATTCTCCGCTATTAATTGGATGACTAATTTTCTTATGGAATTGCCTCACTTTGAGACAATTCCATAAGAAAATCTTTCTAAGTGTGTCGTATTTTGAACAGGGTGCTTGGAAGTATTAAAGTTAAAGATTTTAACCAAAATGCCGCAATAATTTACTGTCGATAATATTTGTTATTGTAATGTCTGATGTATGAAAGTTGGTGGCATAAGCAACGTTTCATAAAGTTGCACTATAAGTTTACTTTACTTTAATAAGTTTACTATAAAGTAAAATATTGTAAATTAAAGTTTCGTATTTTTACTGAAATGGGTTTATCTTTTGAAAGTTTTTTGCTTTTTTTAAGTTAAGAAATTTAACCTCAATTCAATTATTACGACAACGACAGTTATAAAATTAATTAGATTTACATAATTGTTTTTACTTTGTTTGAAAATTTTTAAGTTTCAAACTAAGTAAAATTTTTATATGATACGCACAAAATAATGATCCCTTTTATGCCTTGACATAAAAGTCATTGCTTTGATCATCATTTTCATGTCACCTGTTCAATTAAAAGTTAATTGAACAGGTGACATTTATTAATACAAATAAAAAACATAAATAAGAAACATTCCTTAATATAAATAAGAAAACCAAATATAAAAGAAGAGATCTTTTTTGTCCTTAAAAGTCAAAAACATTTTCTATAAAATCTCATTTATAAATACAATATGTACATTTCACATCACAAACAACAGATGTCGCAAAATAAACTAAAAAACAAAACTATAAAATCGCACTACTAATTAGTGGAACAAAAAAATCAACAACAACAACAACAACAAAAAAAAAAAAAAAAAAATCAAAAAAGAACATCTTTAAAAACATTAAATTTTTTGCATATACTAGGATATATTATATAATTTTAATAAATATATCTATAAATAGTAGTAAAATATATTACATAACTGCTAAATAAAATCTTATTTAAAATTTCCAACATATACCATTTAAAAACGGATCAGTTTCAATAACCATAATATTTGACATTGCTTAAAAATCTATGCAAATATCTGCTCCTCATCAAAAAGCTGAAGCTCTTTAACATCCGGGGATTCAGGAGAATCTAAGGTTCTGTTCTTACGTCGTAAGGCGTAACTTATAGGTGGCTTTTCGTCATCAGGTATTTCTTTAACTTCAACCTTACTTTTTGCCTCATCAACAGCAACAAATGGGGAGCAATTAGGAACAACTTGTTCTAAACATTTCAAAATGAAACTGAAAAGCCAGGTTTAAGAAGATTTAAAGAGAAAATATTAGGGAGGGAAGATAATATTAAATATTATCAGGGAAAAGAAAATCCTGAGTAGCTAAAAAAACATATTGTGTTTTTTAAGGACATATTGTTCTTTTCTAAACAATTAAATAAACCATAAAAAACCGACGTCAAATAAAACAAAAATTGTTGCACACTCACACATATATATACAAGCTGTATATACATGTTTAAAATTGGTGGGCAATTCTGATGGTTTCTAAACTTGTCCAAGTTTGCACTTTAAGAGAGCAGAACTTAGGAGTTACAAAATTTATTATTCTTAAATTAAATTTACCTTTCCAGGGCTCTAGATACTAAAATCGTGGGGGTTACCCATTTTTTAAATTTTTTTATTTTAAAACTTTCTCTTAGTCCTAAACTCCAAAACAAAGCCACTGAGGAGAGAAACAAGTTAAAATACAAATCTTATTAAAACTTATTATATACATAAAAAAAAAGAGGCTAAAACTAACCTAAAACATATCTTAAAACACAACATTTTCTGAAAATAATTTTCAAAAAGTTTAGCTCTAACAAGCCGCAAATAGGGACTGAAAAAACTCTATGACTGAAAAATACAATATAAATACAACTACAAATTCATATGAATATAACCAAAATTTTACATAGAATAAGAAATTAGAAGTTACCTGACGAAGGTGTTTTTGAAAATACTATTTCTTTATACAAATTAGATAAACTTGGTGTTGATAAAAGTTGATCAGCCATTTCTCTTTGAGGAACAACTGAATTATTGATTGATGGTGAAGCCTCATAACTGACTTGAATTTTTTTCTCTTAAAAAACAGATTAAAATTATTATATTTAATAACAAAGCATGTAGTTGTATATTTATATGTTATATATTACAATTATTACAAACATATTCTAAATTTATCATATATTTATCACAACATATTCTAAAAATATAAATAGAATTCATTTCATACATTTTTGAAACAGCATCTTTTTAACAAATTAGTATCTTGACGCCTTTACAGTTAAATAACATAGATTCAAAGACCATTATAGACGAAACTTAATGCCAATCTTGAAATACTCAAGCTTTTTCAAAAGTATATTTTTTGTGATATTTAAACACTTTTAAAATTTTTCATTAAAGTTTTTTTTTTTTTAATTGACCTCTGCCAATTTAAAATACAAATTCTAAAAGTTTTATTATAATTGTTTATACGACACAATGATCACAAAAAAGCTGTCCAGTTAGGTAGACCTAAGAGATGTGATAATAAAAGCAGATTGTAAATGATGTTATTGGGTGAGAATCAGCAATGAATGTTATAACTGTTTAATAAGAAGAATGAAATTCTGCTGCTCAGGGGGAAGGGGGACCATAACTCATATTCTAGTCATCCTTACTAATGGTTTATGAGTTACCAAGTCTATATAAATCAGTTTTAATATGTACTTGCATGACTAAAAATATCATACAATAAAACACAATAAACTAAAAATAGATAAAATTGATAAATAATATTTAATGATAATTCAGATAATATTAAAAAAAAATATGTCAACCTGTTTCGAACCCTGAATCCTTCATTTATGATACAGTGCTCTAATCCACCATGCTATAGTGACGATATGTTTATGTCAAAAATTTTTGTTAATAAATGTAGTATAACTCATGGTCTAAACACTAGATTATTATAAATTAACTGATTACCACCTGCGTCACAGCAGGATATAGATGCAACTGAATCTTGTTAATATTGAAAATATACAATATAAACCTAAAAAGCTTAAAATCATGGGTGTAAGAGGTAAAAAATAATAAATGTAAAAATTTTTTGATGCTATTATAAGCAATTAGAATTAAGTAGTGGATGAAGGGTGATCACTTTTCAGGAATGCACTGCAATCATCAATGACATTTTTCGAGAGCTCTAGACCTGCACTAATGCGACTCGCCAAGGTCCCATTTTTACAACAGATCTCACTGCCTGCACTCAGAAACCTTTTATAAAGTTATGGCTTCAAAGCAGGCAGAAAAATAAAAGAATATTTGCGAACACAAAATAACCGCCAAATCTACGAACAACTAATTTTATTGGTTCAAAAAATGCTAGCGGAAATTTCTAGAGTATTCAAAAAATACTAATCGAATGTTCTAGAGTATTCTGTTGAATTATTTTAAAAAGTTGTATTAATTGAGTTTTGTTATGTTTTCGTCGAGATTTCTAGCATAAATTGTTTTAACAAACGAACTTTTATTTTAATACTATGTCATTCTCGAAGCCACATCTACAAAGCTATAAATGTTTTAAACTAACATTAATTGTTTGCAAAAATAAAGGTTTTAAACTTATGTTTTTAAGTTCTTAGAAAGAAAAGTTTTTAAGTTCTTAGAAATTGGTTAACTAACTTTAATTTTTTTTGCTTCAGCCATTTCTACAAACTGGTTATACTTAACTCTTTTCTGATTTAAATACAAATTAAAATTATAAATTCCACTCACTAAACATTATTAGCGGTAATGTGAAGCTGTTCCGCTTCCTCCTCACTAAGTAACTTAACTTTTTTAGTTAATTTCTATCTAGTTAATTGAATTTCTACAGTAACTCAATGATTTAATTATTTCATTTGTTCATCTTACTAAAAAGAATAGCTTCAAATGTGTTAAACTTTTCAAACTAGGTGAAGCATAAAACAGTTATTAAAAAAACTTTTTTATTTATAAATAAATCATCTAGCGTTAGTTTAACTGGTTGAATCTTGTTGGACTTTTCAGGGCCGCGGGCTGCATTATTTTAGTGGCATTTATTATGTGCCACAGCATAAAAATGACTAAAAAAAATACTGAATGGTCCTTTTGACTATTTCGCGGCCTCTAACATTGTGAGTCCCGGGGCTATAACCCTTCTACCCCATCCCCCTCTCTCCCACCTCCTCAATCCAGCACTGGAAATAAGACATAAGTATATAAATAAAAAATATATACTTTTTGATAAATTAAAGAACATTTGTTTACTTATTAAACAATCATTAATAGTAAGTTGTTACTTTATATAAAAAATATTGCCTGATTTTATAAAAAAAATATAAAAGAACGACGTTTCAAAAATATTTTCTCTAATCATATTTTTTTACTTAAAGTTTTTTTGCATTAAAAGCTGTTTTCTGTTTTTAACTGTCTCTCAATGGTCCAAATAATCTTGTTGCGCTTTTTTGTCTGTTTTTGAAATGTTCTCAAAACGACTAAAAAATCTGGCCGGTTTTACGCAACTAAATATTATTTCCGTTGTCAATTATTGAGTGCGATCGCACCCGCTTCCCGACCAAGCCTGCTTCAGGGTAATTTTAATAAAATTATGGCTTCAAGATAATTTTAATAAAACTATGTTTCAGAAGCTATATTTCATTTTAATTACTGTTTGATTCTATTTATTAACTCCTTAATTAAAAAACAGAGTAAAAATTGATTATAGATTTAACTATATTCAGGATTGGAAAAAAACAGACAGGTGGTAATCAGTTAATTTATTACAGTCTAGTCTACACCCAAAATGTTCCTTCTGATGCAACACAATAATAGCTTACATATAATACATTTATACATATTAACACGAATCTGCAGGTACGCTTTCTTTAAATCAATTATCTCAAGATTTTCTCCCAACTTTCTCCAGCTGTGAAGTTTAGTAACAATCTGCTACTTTACTTTAATTGACTTCCCATTCATTATGTCAACCTTTCCTCTTGCTAGTTTGGCATTTTTTATGTTTACAATATCACAACTTAAAACTGATTTGGAGTATCCAGCATAGATCATCCTAGTCATATTTTAAAAATCCGGAAAATTGCTTGAATGAAATATACAGAAAAAAATCCGGAATTTGTTTTTCCTTATTTTCTTTTTAATTACGCTTTTAGCTAAGTTGTTTTTAATTTTTTTTTTGACAGTTTTCATAATTTTTCTATGAGTGATGAGTGAAAAAGCTTAAAAACCAAATAAATTACAAAAATATATACCTCAGTTTGCATGTATTGAAAATGTTTTGAATATCTGGAAAAACAAAAAGTTGAAAAAAAAATCAGGAATTCCGGAAATATCTGGAAAAAGATAATTCCTGATCCAGTGTCCAATAATGCTTTTATTTTTCTTCCATTGACACAAATGCATAGAATTTAAAACTGCGGTTTTTAACTTTGTGGAAATCTGCTTGTACAAAAACGGGTAGCCTCCCTTATATGTTTTGTGAATTTGTACAACATCGTACATAGAACTAATAATACTAATTATTGACAAATAAGTAGGTATTTGAATCAGAAACTCAAATAACTTTCTAATTGTTATATTGAATGTTTACAGAAATTTTCTGAAACAAGATCTTCAAGATTGTGTTGTTAAAAATTCGGGCAGGTACTCGCCATGCCAACCCTAATTCCGAGGGTTGTACATCCTATATATAATCCCAATAATAATGCAATCCCAACCATAGCGTTTTTAACAAATTTACATAAATGAAACACGCTGCATCATAAACTTTTTTAAAATTTTAAAAATTGATTATACCTTTAAAGTACTGCATTGAAGCAATTTTTAATCATATAAAACAACGTATTATTTATTTAATTTAAACTTCATATCACATACCTATATTAAGTTAAAAAAACTCACGCCATATTGTCTTTTTCATATCAATATCAGGAACATATGGTGGTGGAGAAAAACAACACCTAGATAATGGAGGTGATGTTGGTACATGTTGACATGCTGGAGAAAATGCTGGCCATTGTACTGCATTATCATCTGAAAATTGCATCTCTTTTAAACTCACAATTATACTATAAAACAATATTATGGATATATATGCTGCCTTTATATATCATGGAAATCAACTGTAGACATTTAATTGCAGTTATGGAAAATAAAAATAAAAAATTTAATTATTTTAACATTTCAAGCAAGCTTTAATAAAATTTTAATAAAAAAAAAGCTAAACAGTTTTTTTAATTGAAAACAATAAACACAAAATCTGAAGAAATTTTCTATATTGGGTTTATTTCATGTCATGTAATTTCACAGGTGATTTACTTGGGAATATGACATTAAGATTGTACAAGTAAAATTAGTAGAATGCACTAAAGAGTAATTTTAAAAGCTAAACTTGATAGTAGAACTTAACTAGCAGTTAGGATTAAACAGTTGCTAAATAATTAAAAAACTTGTTCAAATAAAATGAACTGCATAGTGCAGAGACAAGTTTTACTATGTTTATTTAAAGCTTTGTTAAAAAATTTGCGAATTTAAACTGAAATAATTATTTAAGTAACATAATTATTAAGTTTCACGTGCTAAATCACTTTGTTTATAATTATCTAAAATTTTCCCGCTTTAATTCTTTTGATAAAAAAGTTGATTAACAAAGAATTCGGTTTAGCCAATAAGAAATGCAAAACAAAAAGTTTCTTAACGACATAAAAATGGCCAATCACATGTCAAATTAAATTTTTTTTATTGCTTATTATTTATATTTATTAGGCAGTTTTCCTAACTATATTTTTGCAATATATTTATATATTATAATAAATAATAAAATTTTTGTTATATATAATAAGTCTTTATTGACTCGTATTTAAAAAATTTCCAATTTGTATTATTTTTCTTCATATTAATTAGTAAAATGTTTCAGGTCTTTAATTAAATTAGTCGATTTATTATTTAATGGCAATTATAACCTAATAATAGCATGGGAAATCAGTTAGAAAGGTATTAATTTTTTAGTTTTTATAATAAAAGATATAAGTAGGTTAGTAATAAATTTATGTTTTTATTTTGTTATTTATAGTAGATTTCATATTACATGACATGAATTAACAAAAGTTTATGTTAATCTTCCAACCACCACCTGGTATATTCATGGGTTAGAAGGGTACTAAACCACTGCCTTTACCAAGAAAAATAAGAAATTTTTCAGGAAATAATGTTTTTTAAAAAATTAGTCATTTATTTGCTAAAAGTTTTTTTAATTGTTTTGAATGTAGGAGAAGTATATATCTTAGAGTTAGAGATGGATATGTTGTTAATGGTTTAACAGACCTGGTATCAAAAATGTTTCATTCTCATAAATATTTTTTATAAATATTACTTTAAATATATTTTTAATAAGTGATATTAGTATACAATTAACATTTTTGTTAGCGTTTTGGTATATGTAGCAGTAATATTTTAACAAACCCTAATATTAAAACATGTTTTATTCTATAAATATTTGTTTTATTATTTAAAGTATAAAAACAAAGTAGATAAAAATATTTAAGTAAAATAAAAGATATATTTAGTATGTTTTTATTAAGGGTGTTTAAAAAATTGTCATTGTTTAGTGACAAGTTACTAAAATATTTACAAAAATATATATACAACTGCTATTAAAGGACTTCTTATCATATATAATTTAACTTTTTGTAAAACTAATAGCTTTATTTAAAGTAAAATCTTTTAAATAAAGCTTTAAAAGTTTGATTTACAAGAAAGTTTGTTGCTTTAAAATAAAGAATGAATAAAAACAGGGGGGATTTTATGAATATGTGTAGGGAAGGGGGTAAAATTCCCATCCTCCGAAAGAAGGCTATTTTCAACTTATAGTCAGTTTTTTAAGAAATATAGTTGTAGGTATGTTACATGAAATTTTTAAAATAATCAATTACTAGATTGTCATATATCAATGAAAAGACCTCGAAAACAGCATTTTAAAAATGAGATAAAATTATTAAAATTGAACAATTCTACAAAATGTTATAGTGTTTTAAGTACTTAATTTTTAATATATGGATTTGTTGAAGAAACTGTTACCAATTTATGAGTTTTTCTTAATTTAAAATGTCAATTCTTATTAAAATTCATACAACTTGGTATCAAAAGTATGTATAAAAAGATAAAAAAATAAGTGTATATAAAAAGCGCATTGGGGCGTTAGAGTGGCATCTACAATATTCTCTAATATGTTCAAAATCTAGTTTGTTTTTTTTTAAACAAAAACCTTAATTTTTTCATTAAAATTTTGAATTTTTTAAAATAAGTTCTGCCAAGTCAAGGAAAATTTTGGAACTTTGGCTAGACAGGGGGTGGCTCTAAAAAATCAAATATAACCTTTTCTGTTATATAAAAACTTAATACACAAAAAGACTATACAAATATAAACTTATAAAAAACACTATACATACATACTGTACATCATTCTCCTAATTAACTCCTTTAACTATACCAATTTAGTAAAATTCATCGTATTTGCAAATAGTTGCTGCAGATACACCTATAATGTATCTACATACACATAATAATAAGTGTAAGTATATGTTACCAGATAAGTGGTTAATAAATATGTTGTTTTTTTTGTTATTTTTTTGCGTTACGTTTTACCACCTCTTCTGTCATCTTTTCTGCTACTAGAAGGCTGAAATTTAAATTTAGACAAGTCTTTGTCTTCATATACAAAAGATCCATTTTGATTTAGGTACAGGGTGGTTTTGAAGCCAAACCATAAAATCACTTCTTGACAAGCCTATAATTTATAAAAAACATATCTAAATAAAAGATAGCAGTTGTAAATGGTGGGGTCAATTAAAATGTAAATCTGAAAAATTAAGGTAACTAGTAAAATTACTTATAGTAATTTTAATGATAAAAATAAAGGTAACCTTAAAAAATCTTATAGGATAATTCCATATAAAAGTGGGGCAGTCATTTCAGTCACTTCTTGGATTTTTTTTTAACCAGTAGTTAAAAGAAAATTTAAGCTTCCCTAATCTAAGCGGTTCAAAAGTTATGATGTTTTAAAATTCAGCCTAAAATGTTCCTTTTATTTATTAACCACTTATCTGGTAACCTATACTTACACTTAATATTATCACACAAAAAGTTTCATTTTTGTTCTCAAAGGATAATAAAGATGTCATTTTGAAATTTAGCCAAAAAAATCATTTTTTTTGGCCTCCATTCTCCATTATAGAATTTATAGTGATACTTTTTGTGTGATTAATTTAAGTTCTAGATGAAGAATATGATTGAAAATTAGTACCTGACCATTTTTAAAGATGTTGAATACAAAATGAAGAGAAAATAACCTAATTCTTAATATTTGAGAATAATTTTTTAATTTTTAAATATCAACAGGCAAATTTTTTACATTTGGTTTAGATTTCACTTATTTCTGGAGTTGCCTTACTCTAAATGTGAAATAAGAGGTCTTAGAAAAGTTTAACTCTCTGAAAGAAAATAAAAAAATTATATTGCTTTGCATAACTTGCATATTTATTATCAATATTTTAGAAATATAATTTGCAACAATGAAGTTCTAAAGGAAATTCATAGAAATATAATTTGCAGTACATCAAATTGAAAATATAATTTCATTGTTTATCAATAATAATAATTTAACTTAATGTTATAGCATTATTGCTTAATGTCTAGTTGTTTCAAAATATTAGTTGCATGTTCAATTTTTAGGTTGCATGCTCAAATATTGTGTTAAAAAATGAGAAACTAAAATTAAACTAAAAAAGTTTTTTTGTTAAATAGTAAAAAACCTGCTTTATTGAAAAAAGCTCAAAAATAAAAATGAAAAGGATACCCAATATTACTAAATTAAACCCAATATTACTAAAAATGAAGTTGATAGAATTAAATAATGAAAGTATAATATTAATAAACTTTCACTGACAAGATAAAAGCTGGTTTTGTTTTTGTTTTTTTTTATTCAACCATATCAGTAAAAGTTTACAAATCTCATCGTAAATTAATAGAATTTGGTTAGGTGTCACTCATATAGTTACAAACTAGTCAACTGGAGTGACACCTAAAAAACATAAAACTCTCGAAAAAATAAAGAAATAAAGAAATAAAAAAAGAATAATAAAAAAAGAAAACGAAGAAGAAAAAAAAAGGAAGTTGTCTTTATTATAAAATTTCTTGTTTAAGAAATTATATAATAAAGACAACTGCAGAGATAAATTATAAAGAAATGCACTCTAACAATATATTTTTAAAAGGGATATTTTTTTAAAACTTTTTTATTAATGCAGGAATACACTGGTTGCAATCAGAAATACATTATTGTTTTATAGAAAACTTACCATATTTAATTGTGTTGAAAATAGAAGAGTATAGCTTACTATTTTCTGTATTCCTGGTGTGATGATTATGAGTTTCATTTGTTTTAATAAAAAAAGTTTAAAAAAGAGTTTGGTAGTTTATTTTATTAATAAATCATTTGAAGAGTTTGGATAAAAACATAGTAACGAATTAGAGAAAGCATACTATTAGCTCGTGTAAATTTTTTTTTAAGATGATACAGTTGATTATACCAAGATAGGTTTTCATCAAGATATATTCCAAGATTCAAGGAAATATGATTAATAAATATTATTATATATTTACAAATATATGATAATATTTATTATATATTATATATATTGACATTTGTTTTTTTCCAAAATAAGATTTTTTCAGAGTGTGCTCATAAGCATAACCAGTAAGGTTTAATGGGATAGTTGGTAGAATGTCATTTTTTAGTTTAGTTTCAGTTATGCCAATAATACTGAATTCATGGTTAGTAAGAGATAAAAGTGAGTTTAATTTGTCAAATTTTTTAACAAGAGAAGCAATATTTAAATGAAAAAGAGAAAAACTGTTTTGAGAGTTCATTAATATGAATCACTTTATCAGTTGTTTGCAGGCGCAGCTCCTTATCAGATAAAGAAATGAAAAAAACATATTTCCTACATGAAATACAGAACCAAGATGTTTTAGAGTTTTTTAATATCCTAAATTCCATATCATTTAGATGATAGCATTTTTTATGAAAAAGGTTTAGGCAATGATTACATTGAAGGTAGTGATGGTTTTTATTAATTTTCTTGAAACAATCTTTGCAGTGAGTAGACATATAAGTAGTAAATAGACTTCAAATTTGTTCAAATAGATTTTTGTTTTCTTTTGAGATGTGATACTGATGCCCAGAAGATGTTAATGTTTTAACAAGAGAAATGACATTCATTCTTGACACCCAGCAATTATCATCCTGCTTTAGTACGACTAGTAGTATTACTAGTATGACTGAATTGGATAATGTGGATGCATAAACTTTACCATAAAATCATCATTCTTTTTATTAACTCCTTTAACCATACCAATCCAGTAAAATTCATCATATTTGCAAAATAGGTATTGTGACATCATAACATAGTCAATTTTAATAGTTTCATATTTTTGCTTATTGAGGTCAAATGAGGTCAATTCAGTATAAATGTCAAGTCAAATATTAGAACAAAATCATCATCAGCTACCCTTTTCATTTTTATAATTGAATGAGAAGATAAAAATTGATGGAAACTTCTTGTCCCAGGAATAGTGGTTGCTATTAAAAGTCTATCAGTAAGTTTGTTTCTTACTAGCTCCATTTCTTCAGCAGTGACATAGACAAACATAATCCCACTGATTGACTTTTGACAGTATTCAAACATTGTTTGAATACTGTCAAAAGTCAAAGACGGTGTTTGACCTGTGATTTGACTCTGTAAGCTAGGAGTTACAACAAGCCTTTTAACAGTGCCACCTATTCCATCGCATAGAGATTTGCCATGGCTTATTGCAAAGAAATTCCAAATGCAACAAACAGAAAAGTCTTGAGCATGGTGACATAAATTATAAAATTTTTTGCAGTTTTTATACAAAATATTGAATTTTTGTAATCGTGGGACAAAGATGAGTTTTATATAAATAATGATTTTATGCATAAGTTCATTGATAAATCCAACATCATGATTAAAATCATCTGAAGAATATGATTGAAAATTAGTACCTGACCATTTTTAAAGATGTTGAATACAAAATGAAGAGAAAATAACCTAATTCTTAATATTTGAGAATAATTTTTTAATTTTTAAATATCAACAGGCAAATTTTTTACATTTGGTTTAGATTTCACTTATTTCTGGAGTTGCCTTACTCTAAATGTGAAATAAGAGGTCTTAGAAAAGTTTAACTCTCTGAAAGAAAATAAAAAAATTATATTGCTTTGCATAACTTGCGTATTTATTATCAAT